TAAGTTTCATGATCATGATTCACCTTATTTCTATAGCCAATGAAGTGGATCCAATGTCTTTGTGGAACAATTTTCATTCAAATAAGTTGTTGATTCAACTTCCAACACTATAGGTTAAAATAATTGCTAAAAAAAAGTCATCGGAATTTGAACATGTTTGATGAGCTTTCGACTCTTGGTAGAATAATTCATCTCTTTATAATGCTTCATTTAACTATTTAATGAATTTAATGGTTAGCAATACTTTTGTCAAAATTGAATTCCAGGTGCTTAACATCAGGACTCAGGAATTATTAGGTTTTCTGTCCTAAGAATATAAGGAAGTTTTCCACCGCCAGAAAGATTTTATGAATCTTCTTGAGATTCTCAGCGTTTCTCCGTCTTTCGATGCGAGGATTTCACAAGAGTTTCTCTTCTGTGTTTCACAATTTCAGACGAGGGAAAATTAAATGTTCCATGAGACGACGTACTATAACCTTGAGAAATTGACGCTTCATATTAAATGAACCGTTGTGCAGTTTCCAGTTTCCGCAATTAATTTACTTTGCTTTTTCTTTTTTTATTATAAGCAGTTTCCTTTTACACTGAAGTTAATATCAGTCTGTTTTCTTCTTTCAAAAATGCACTCGTTCACTTTTCTATTTATTGACCCAATTATGCTGGCATTCATTTAATAATTTATTTTTTTAGTAATTGGCTAAAAGAAATTACTCGCATATTCGTTGCTTTTTTTTTTTTTTTACACATGGAATTGTGGTAAAAATCCATTATTACAGTATCTATATCGCGAAAATAACTTTTGAATGAAGAATATATTCTGATCATGTGAGCAAAAACGCCTTTGCTTTGAAGAATGATCTTATCATATACCCTGTACTAGTCTAATGCTGAATTTGCATGCTTGATGCTTGTACATGGAAAAAATGTAAAATTGCCCAAGAATTATTACTGCTAGATTAATATGCAAATTATGATGTCTCCCATTCAATCATATTCTATAAAACCAAGAAATCTAAGACAAAATGCAGAAAATCTTGGGAAAAATACACCGCAAATAGTTCAAAACAGCTTTTTATAAATTTTGCAAAAATAGGTTCCTATGTCTGTATAGCCTGGGGTCATAACCAAGATTATACTCATCCAGCAGGATTTCGCAATCACTAACCAGCTGTACTATTTATACATAGGATGGCCAAGTAAGACAATGAATCGGGTTCTAGAAGAGGTTCTTTTGGAAGATTTGAAACTTATTTAATGACGTCGTTGTTGATTTTTAATGAGCGCATGTGGATGAGTGGATGAACTTGCAGTGATGAAAATAAGGTCAGCCCCTCATCCAATATTCAAGGTCCGTTTGGAGTGTGTTCAGAAGATGGGTCAAGATGGGAAGTATATATTGATTCATGCATCAATAAGAGGCTTTGAATATTTCTGTCTGAGCTGTACATTTGCTGTGAATGTATCTGTAGTTATTCACTTGAATTATCCTGATTTATCTCTCATGCAAAGATGACAAAAGCCTTGTTGTGCAATCTTTCAAAATGGAATAAGGAACTAATACTTTGTATATGAGGCATCTTAATTATGCCTGCTGGAAACTTAATTTTCAATATTTTTCATATTGCAGGCAAGAGATGCAGACAAGGCTTAATTTTGTTGCCTGGAATAATCAATATGCTGTGAAACCTCTATAATGCAAACCTCCCTAAATCAAATACTCTACCTCCCTAACTCAAATTTTTTTAAAGTCCCTGTCTGAATTCCCTTAGAAACAATGCATTAAAAACCTCTCTAACTCAAAGTCTTTTTCTCCCAAACCTCTGTAAGTCAACTTTTCTGAGGCCTTTTGGCTACAATTCCCTTGGAAATGAAAAGGAAAATCAATGAAACAAATGATTTTATGCATCTTGAAAGGAAGTGTAAGACTATAATTAAGCACATGAACCCCTGTGTCCATGTTCAGCAAGCTGTAAACCTAGCTATTAAGAAGCAAGTTTATGCCTCTAGAATATCCTCATTTAAAATTTCTTTTTCTTATCCTTGCAGCAAAAATTATTTTTTTTTCACTCAAAACCTCCAAAAATCAAAACATCCCCAAGTCAAAATTTTCTCCTGGTCACTAACAAATTTGATGTAGCTGAGAGGCTCAACTGTGATTTCAATTTTGAGCTTAAGAAATGAATAGCAGATGATGACTGAATTGAGCTGAGCCCCAAAAACATGAATGTATTCTTAGAAGTATTTTTAATTTGATTCATTAGGTTAGGCCCTTATAGGGTGTACAGCAACCCATAAGTCATGGATATACCGCCCTTTTAAAAAATTGAAATTTTCAAATTAAAATTTGTTTTATGGCTTATGCAATCATTCTCAGATTTATCAACACATGACAAGATGAAAAAAATGCGTTAATTCATGATGATTCACTGGAATTATAATTACAGTTTTTACATTTGCTTTCATCATTGATGACAAAAGAGTGATGTGTAAGAATCATGAAAATCCTATCTGCAGATTTTTACCTGAAATATAAAAACACAAATAACCCTTCACATCAAATATTGTGCCTTTTGACCTGCGTTTTGACCTGCATTTTTTTTTTAGAGAAAAATTTTTACCTGCATCTCTCCTCCTAAATAATTTCCTCCAAACTTTTGGGTCTTTTGTTTCAAAAATTAAATAACATCCTTAAATTAGACACGCTGAAATCAGAGAACCAAAATTCTCAGTAAAAATCCTCTTTCATTCCATCTCTGTGAGAATCTTGGAAGACCTTGGTTCTCACATTTCTTTCTGGGCCTTCAAGGCTGCACTTTATTGCTAATATCCTGTTTGCTGTTTTTTGTCCTTGAAGGACAGTTTTCCTGTTTTCCTAAATTGGCAAAAATCATTCATTCTGATTTGAGCATTTGCGTGTGTTGTTTCCCATCAATCTACGCAAAATTGCCACCCTTTCAAACTTGCATATTAAAAAATTGAATTACACCAACCTAAAAATAGGGTGATTTTTCACCCTGGTCGTAGCCCAACCAAATTTGTGTGTTTCATTTCAAATTTCTCAACTCAATCTTAAAATCTGTATTTGTCTAGATAATATTCTTGACATCTTTCCTTGCAAGGAAAAAAAAAGCTTGTTGCCAAACCCATTGGATGAGGATTATATAAACATCATACCTTCACCATCACTTTTGCCACCATCACCATCACTTTTGCCACCATCACCATCACTTTTGCCTGTCAATAAATTCGAGAAATAGAAAGCTATCCCAGTGTTTCTTCCTTGCGTCGTTTAGAAATCTGTTGCGAAATCTTCCTGCTGGTAAAAAAAATGAATTACACTTTCTTCTTCTCCTCCTTTTTTTCCAGCCTTGACCTCGAAACAAGCCCTGTCATCAGTTGACGGAATATTTAAGCCCAGCGTGTGGTACAGTGAACTCTCGGGACACAAGCAAGGTCATCTCCTTGTTTATTATTGCATACTACTGAGCCTCTCTGCATAGATACAGGTTAGGCCAAAAAGAAAACCGATTTTTTACTTACCACAGGTTGGCAACAAATCCAGCTGCAGCAATGGAAAAAAATCACCACATGGAAGGCTGTTCTATTTTCTTTCAACTTATGCATGGTTTTACGGTCTGAAGTGCCACAGCTTAGTAAGAAGAAAAACCAGCACTTCTGAGAGAACTTTCAAAAAATATTTTGTTCAAAGCACCTCCTTCCGCTAAGCTAATGTTTTACATATAGCTGTTTTTGGTGATGAATGGGGTGCAGGATGGAGCATATAGGGATGAATGTGGTACTTGATTAATTTCTCACTTCTTAATTCTCACCCCTTTCCCTTCTCCTGAGTTTTGGGAATGTCTGCATTTTCTTGAAGGGAGCATGAAGCTTGTTGGTTAACCCATGTGTCAGGAATAAATCCCAACAAATAAGAGGTTTAGTTTTAATTTGTAGTTTGAGACAAGAAGTTTGAGAAATAAAACACAGCGATTTGGTTAGGCTACAACCCGGGTGAAGAATCGCCCTATTTTAAGGTTGGTATACTTTGGTAAAGTTGAACAAGAATCAAGATTTGCAAAATCTTGGAGATGGTGCACACACAAATGCTCAAGTTGGACTGTAATAGAATTGCAGAGTTTGGAAATCAAGAAAACTGTCCTTCAAGGATGAAAAACAGCAACAGGATCTTGGTAATAAAATCCAGCCTTGGAGGCTGCAAAACATCTGTGGGAACCAAGGTCTTCCAAGATTCTCACACAGATGGAATGAAAGATGAACTTTACTGGGAATTTGGGTTCTCTTAAAGCTAGTGTATCACATTTAATATGGTTGTTGAAATATTTTCAACACCATGGGGAAGGCAATGATTTAAATTCCATTACAAGGTGTTGCTGGGAAGTTTTTGCAATTTTTGAAAACTAAAATCAGTTTGACCTATAAACAAGGTCATGGAGATGCAGCTTTGGTTCAGTAGCCAAAGTCCAGAAAAATCCAGGAAAATTGAACCCATTGTGTTTGAAATCCTTTTGTGCTCTTCTGATCATACTTGTTCTTCATTTTCTTATGCTTTGTAGTGCAGCATTTTGCAAATGAATCCTGTCACCATCACCCAAGGGTTAAATTATTATAGTCCTGCACACCATTTATCCATATTAAAGAGCTCATGTGGAGAATAGCAGCACAGTGGAAGGAGTTTCCCAATAATTGTTTTTAGCATGTCATTCAACTGACTTTTGTGACCATGCCATATGACATTTCAGCATAAAATCGCATATGATGTGAAAATAAATTGAACAAGCTTTCCGTTCGTTTTTTGTTTTGTTTCTTTTTTCCTGTTGCTCAATTTCATACCAAGATTTATTGTTATTTAAAAATGTGTGTTCCTTTTTCTTTTGCCCACGATGCATTTCCAGTATCGTCACACAATGCAATGAAGCTGAGGAAATAACGGAATAAATGTTAAATAAAGTCAAGATATAATATTTTTGGAAAGCTGAAAAATGACGGCGATGAAGCATTTGTCGGTGGCGGATTATGCGGTGTTTTTCGGGTCGCTGGTTGCTGCGTTGGCAATCGGGATTTGGCAAGCAGTCAAGTACCGCCATGAATCGCAGAAGGACATGCTGGTCATTTCTTCAGGGATGCATTTGGTGCCCATCACTTTGTCTCTCATGGCCACTTACCAATCTGCAATATTGATCCTAGGTGAGGTTCACTTTCACATTTTCAGTAAGTCAATTAAAGTCAAGCCTCTGGATTAAGTCAATACCTCCCACAAGCTAAAATTTTGTTCAAGTCCCTGTCTGAATTACTTTAGAAACAATGCATTAAAAACCTCCCTAACTCAGAGGCTTTTACTCTAAAACCTCCATGAGTTGAGTTTTTGAGGCTGTATGGCCATTATTTTATTGAAAAATCAGGAAAGAAAAAAGCAAAAAATAACTGGATTTGGTGTGCTTTAAAAGGACTAAATTGGGAAAATGAACCCTTCTCTCCAAGTTGAGTGCCCAATGTGGTGAAAAGATTGTGTCAATAGGTACTTTTTAAAAGGAATTCGGTACACATGGTCAGCCAGGTTTTTGCACCCGAAATAAAATTTATTCTTTTTGCTTTGTACAAATTGATCATTCTTAAACTTTGAATATTCACAAGACTTAATTGACTTTGAAATTTTTTTTGATGTTTGGCATAGCAAGACAAATGCAATGTGGGACTGTGTTGTTCCATTGAAATACTGGTCCTTTTAAAGCTTCCAAGAGTAATTCTTTCCAAAGGAAAAGAAGGTATTGAAGTCTTTGATAATTCCCCTTTGATGGTTGAATTTTGCCCCAGGGGACAAAACTCTGATATAGAGATCGAAAGATGAACAATCCTCTGATCAACAGGTTTTGTTTAGATCAATGACATTTTCCCAGGGATGGGGATGCAAGGACTTCCAGAAAGTTTGCCTGTTTCCCCTTCCAACCTTTTTTCTTGACAGTCAACTCATTTTAGAATAAGCAATTGAATTGCAATGTTCTCTACATTTGTTTGGATGTTTTTGCCCCTCTCTGAAGGTCAAATTGTAAGGCAGAGGTCAAATGGTGCATCACCCTCCCCACACATTTGACCATCAAATTTTGGGATGGACAAATTGTGGCATGGACAAATAGCAAGGTACCAGAACTGGTATTTACATTTTAGAGTTACAAAAACTGGGGTATGCAGCTTACTCAGAGATGGAATTTTATAAGAATCTTGGACTGAAAAGCACCAGTGCGCATCTTACCTGAGGGCATGTGTTACTTGAGGAAATTTGGTCCTCTTTTGAAACTTCAAATTTTCTTCAGTTGAAAGTTCTTTAAAGTCCTGTTCTTCAATTATTCTCTAATTTTCATAAGGCAGGAAATCAAAATTGAAGTCATCTTCCAAGTGGGTTTGTAATATTAGATTTGTATTTTATGTACAATCAAACCCAATTAACCCATATGTGGTAAACGGGTCCTTTCCATTCCATGACAAAATCAGACTTTTATTGGGTATGTCCACCTTTCATTTTTCCACAAGGTTATGAAACCCCTGCACAGTGGGGAAGGACAAAGTCAGATTTTATCAAAGGACATGGAGTCACTGTGAAATTTGGAAGTGGACTTGTTCTGCAGTGAAACCTCTACAGTGATGGAACCCTGGCATTAAAGCTTAAATTGATCTTTGATTTCTGCAACAATAAAGGCCAAGGAGAAAAAACCAAGCCTTAAAGATACCTTTGTTTTCATTTCTGAGTGAAATTTTTCTGTGGAAATGACAGTATTTTTCGAAACTTTGCTCTGCGCACGCTGTCAATTTTTTTTAGTTAATTCTGCAAAGCATACAAAATGTGCAGAACAGTCTGACTTTGCCACAGAAGGGTTAAGACACCCAGTCTTAAGCCACCATCCTCAGCAAACACCAATTCATTTTGAGACACAAATCTTCCCTCCTGATAATGAATAGCATTCAAAACCTCATTGAAACTCCATCTGCAAAATTTGACTTCTTGCTGGTGCTGCCAATTCATTTTTTCCTTGATAGCCCGCACGTATGATTACATTTTTCGAGAGAGGCGGTGTAAAATTTAAAAAGCCCACAAATTTACTTCCTGTGAACATAAACTATATCACAGAGGTACTTCGATTCCTTTCCAGAAGAATGCGGATTATATTTCCTATTACGTATTTGATTTTCATGTTATCTTTCTTTTTTTAATAAACCACGAGGCAATTACAATAATTGATGAAAAAGGAAATTATTGAGAATGCGTTTAGGAAATTTGAGGATTAAGGTTTTTAAACAGGCGGTTTTAGTGAAAGTAAGTGGAATGGACAGCACAATAGTTCATCCTTTTTAGCCCTTCTGCAGCTAAGTTGGACTTTTTTAGCAGATTTTTGTGGCTCTCCAGATTGGAATTAAAAAAAACCCCAACAGTGTGTGCAGGGCAAAGTTTGGAAAAATCCTGGCATTTTTTTAATTTTCCACAGAAAAATTTCACATGAAAATGAAAAAATGAAAGCTTCAAGGCTCCCTTTTTTCCCCTGGCCTTGTGTTGTTTCCCCATTCAAAGATTAAATTTAAGCTTGAAAGCCAGGAGCCCTGGTTGGAGGGCAATACCAAAAAAGTCCAACTCAGGACTTTCCCAGCATTTCATTATCCCCGGAAAAAATCCGACTTTGCCCTCCCCCACCTGGCCGAGGTTGCATAACCTTGTGCAAAAATATAATGCACACCCATCAGGAAAAAGTCCAACTTTGCCCTGGGATGGAAAGGAGGCTGCCGCCGTCCAAGGGTTAATGGTATAGAATTATTCCCATCAAGGTAGGAATTAATTTAATTGATCCCAATGAATGGTCAGTTTCTATAAAGAACTCCTCACTTATTATGCATTAGCAGTTTACAATCAGGTATTTTTTAAATTGGTGATTTAGTTCAGTTGTTGATTTTAAATAAATATCCTATTAAAGGTGGTGCCTCTCAATTTTACCTGTTCAAATTTGACAGTCAAATTTTCTGGGAGGTTCACTTCCAATTCAACCCTTGCCCCACAATTTTGAGCTGTGTTGGCCAGTTTTTATCATGTTTTACTTATATTTTTGAATTATCGCAAAGTTTCTCACGATTCAAATGTTTCGCAATTTGACCCTAGTTTGGCCACAGATTAGGGACAAATTACAAGGTAAAAAATGTATAAAGGAAATGCAGAGATTTAAATCATCATGTTACAATTGTTAAGCAAAGAAGTAAAAATCACAGAGCCACTGTTTGAATGCACACAGGTACTCCAGCAGAGATTTATGCTAACGGTTCAGAATGGATAACAGCAATCCTTGGCTGCATCATTGGCATCCCATTGGCAAGCGTGGTATTTGTGCCAATTTTCTACAAGCTGAAACTCACAAGTGTCAACGAGGTGGGCATTTTTTAAATTTCCACATTATTCATGTCAAGTTTTGCTTTAAAATGTATTCATCCTTTTTTCCTTGCGCAGTATTTTGAGTTTAGGTTCAGGAGCAAAGCAGTGAGGATACTTGGAAGTTTTCTGTTTTTGGCACAAAACCTGCTCTATATGGGTGTTGCCCTGTGGGCACCTGTTATTGCCATTTCCTCTGTGACTTCCATGCCTGAATGGGTTGCCATCTTGACTGCTGGAGGCATTTGCACCATCTACACAGCAGTGGTAAGTCCATTCAAATTTTCTTCATACATTTTGAATTGGCGTTCGGAAAATGTGTTCAATTTTTTTAGCTCAAAAAAGTAGAATTGATAAATCTATCCAGGGCAATTTTGATATTTCCTCATGAAAATATCCCATAGTATGCTGTGTTTATTATTACTCGTTCTGTTAAAATATTCATCTTTCTTGTTTGACTTTTAGTTCGAGGCATACATTTTCTTGTATTTTACTCAATAAGAATACACATGAAGTTAACAAATAAACCTGATCCAGTTTATAATCAGGCAAAAGCATCTGTTTCAAGTCATTTATTGCTCGAAGTGTGGCTATATTAAATGTTGGCCTTATTGTAGTGGAAATTGGTGTGGATTCCAAGAAATGAAAATGAGTGCACACCACACAGGCATGCAACATGTATTAAATACTGCAGTTCTGAGATCATTTTGTCATATAGTTGCTCAGTATACAGTGACCCCCGCCTAACAGACCACTTGCCCAATGGATTTTTGCCTAACAGACCCCATCTCGAGGTCATTTTCTGCCCTGCCTAACAGACCAAATCCGCCTAACGGATTTCAGTTTTTTTATAGTGTGTGGCAGTTGGACGTGCATCTCTCACGTCCCCCTTGCTTCCCTCACACCCCCTTGCTTCTCCACATGTTCTGAGTGTGCCATATAAGTGAGAAAATGTGAGATGAGGTCTAGAACAGTTTTGATAAACAGAAAAGTGTGCAAATTTTTGGGTTTCCCAACTGTTGGGAACCAGAACCACCACCACCAGCATGATGAGCGCCTTGTTAATCAAGGTAATAGGAGGAAATTGGGTAGAAAAATCACCCAAGGACAATTTCAGAAAAAAACTGTTGAATTTAGAGCACCAACAGAGAGCACCAGAAAAAGTCTGTGTGATCAATGTGTTTTTTTTAATGTTTGTCACTCTCTTGAGAATGACTGAGTAGTGACATATGGGCTTTCTTCTTTCCTGTTTTGAAAATTTATAAAGCTCAGGTTTGATTATGTTCAAGAATAACTGTGTTTCCAAGTTTTTTCCTGATTTTCCTGTTGCATAAACTTCAGGCCTCTCTTCTGATGGAAACTTCACAAATCATCCTTTCTTGTAGAAATTTGATATGCCATTTTGTAGAAACTTCAGTCTTATCTTTTGGTAGAAACTATTCATCATATCTCTGTTTGTAGAAATTACACATGCCTCTTTGTGTAAGAACTTCACAAATCCCTTCATGTAGAAACTTCACAAATCCCTTCTTGCAGAAACTTCACAAATCCCTTCTTGTAGAAACTTAATATCCCTTCTTGATGTAGAAACTTCTGGTCTCTCTTCTGGTAGAAACTTTGCATATCTCTTCTTGTAGAAACTTCTGGTCTCTCTTCTGGTAGAAACTTCTGGTCTCTCTTCTGGTAGAAACTTCACTTATCTCTTCTTGTAGAAACTTCACATATCCCTTCCTTGTAGAAACTCAAGGTGTGTCTCCTTGAAACTTCTCATATCCCTTCTTGCAAGAACTTCACATTTCCAATCTGGTAGAAACTCTGCGTTTCCTGTGTGGTAGAAACTCTATGTTTCCTGTGTGGTAGAAATCTCTGGCCTCTCTCATATTAGAAACCTTGAACTGAAACCACATTAAAGATTTTCAACATTTACACCTATGGGGAGATTGAACTTGCCTAACAGACTTTTTTTTAAACCTAAAGGACACTAATAGTGCTGGGCCATCAGTTGCCCAAGCTTGGGCATCTGGGCGCAAAACCTTTTCAAAATTCATGACAACAGTGACTCTGAAAATCAGTGTGTTGTTTCAATTTTTTCACTTTTTTGATGACTGAGTAATGAATTATGGGCATTCTTCTTTCCTGTTTTGAAAGTGTACAAAACTTAGGTCTGATTCAGCAGTTCAAGAATGACTGTGTTTCTAACTTTTTCCCTATTTTTCCTGTTACATTTTTTAACTAAAACCACGTTGAACATTTTTAACATGTAAACCTATGACAAAATTGAACTCGCCCAACAGACTTTTTGCCCAAAGGACTAATCCATTGCACCAATTAAGTCCGTTAGGTGGGGGCCACTGTACTTCAAGCTGATTGCTGGATTGTAGATAGATTTGTTTCCTGTTTAGGGTTTTCTTGACTTTTTTGTCATGTGTTTTCATTATGTTTTGATAGGGTGGACTCCGAGCTGTTGTGTGGACAGATGCTTTCCAGGTGGTGGTCATGTTTCTTGGACTTCTGGTCATTATAGTTTATGGGACAATCCAAGTTGGAGGAGCTGGAGAAGTCTGGAGAATAGCTTCAGAGAATGACAGAGCAAACCTCTTCAAGTAATTATGTTTAATCATAACTGCTTCCTTCACTTCCAAAGAATATTTTCATGTCAAGCTCAGCAACTGTTTTATTGTTCCACAGCATTTCCTTTGATCCATATGAGAGACATTCATTCTTGTGGATACTTTTGAACACAGGAATTGCCTGGATGCTGATCCATGGAGCCAATCAGTCGTCAGTACAAAGATACAGCTCCTGCAAAACACTCAACCAAGCCATAATGTAAGACACTGATCTTTGATTATATTCTGGATGACGGATGTATGAGTATTTTCAGAACCCTGATGCTGAATGTTCCTGGAGTGATTATTCTTGTGCTCATGGCATGTATAGCAGGACTGGTCTTGTTTGCCAATTATGTGCACTGTGATCCTCTGAAATCTGGAATCATCAAAAGCAAAGACCAGATTATTCCCTTTTTTGTTGTGGATCAACTGGGGGACCTGAGTGGATTGCCTGGGATTTTCATGGCTTGCTTGTTCTCCGGAGCATTGAGGTAAAACACTTTATTTACTTGAAACATTTTCTTTTGTTTGGAGTAAGGATGATTTTTTGTGAAGATCACAACTTACTGTAAAAAGTTGAGGTACAGCGTGTGTATGATGCTTTTGCAGAGTGCATTTGAAGTACCAGCAGAGACATAGAGTTACTTGAAAATGTTGAAAGACATGCGTGTGTTAATTTCAGGATTGTTTATTACATGTAGGTTGTGGGGTCGAGAGAGTGCGTGGAGAAGCCCGAGCGTAGCATCCTCGCTCGGGCTCCACATATGAAAAAGTACGACGCGTCCGGAACCAAGGTCCAGCATGGCACCCGGTTACCGCCTGGCGGAACC